TGCATCTTGAGACAGCATGTCTGTGTTTACATCGCCCATTATCACGAATGGAAAGCCAGTAAGACAGGAGTACTCTGAAACTTCTGCTATGAGTTTGATTAACTTTCCTTTGCACCCTAAGGGTGCCCTGTAGACGACTACAACAAACGCTTTTTTCTAACCACACCATAAGGCACTGTACAACTTCATTAACTACGTAAAACTGGAAGACAACATCATGTTTTAAGGATTGTTTAACGTAAATAGCCACTCCACCTCCTCTACCAACGGCACGCACTAAGCCATTGTAAGTGACGCTTTCAAAATATGGCGGATCGTTTCCTACAATCAATCAGGTTTCAGTGAATAGCAATAAATCAAAGCTGAATGTAATGGAGCAAAATATATTGAGGCTATTATCTGCTTTGTGGAGTATCCTGCGTGTGTTTAAGTGAAAAACCTTGATGCACCTACGCGCAACTCCAAACAGATCATTCACAGAACTGCTATCCCGGTGATCATCAGTAGGTGTCGCTATATTGGTGCTCATCTTAAACGAAAGTCGATTAGCTTATGCATTCTCAAAAAAAAAAAACACTATGCGGAGATTCCGCCCCCTACGACGGTCTTCTTGGCGAGGTCATCTGCGTTGCTTATATTTAGTACAGGCGAAGACTCCTTTCTTCGAGCAAATATTTTGCCCCCCCCCCCCCCCCCGATGTCCAGACAAACTTCCAACGCATTTCCTTTCTCTGAATAGCTGATCCAAGAAACTGTTTCCCGTGTTTCGTCAAGTGCTCATTGACATATACTGCAGAAGACGTCTGGCTGCCCAAATCCTTGCCCAGAATTCTAACTTTCTTTGCCTTGCTTATTATGACAAGCTTCTTTGTCCTGTGCACCAATCGGACTACTATGTTAGTTTGGTCATGACGAGCATTCGGTACTCGGTGGCAGATATCAACGTCCTTTGCAGTTATTTCTTCCTGAATAACCCCATGGATTTAAGCGCATCAAGTGGTTCAACATCGCATGGGACACCCTTAATTTCAAGATTGTTTGAGCGCTGATAAGCTTTGACCTCTTCCATTCTGTGATGCAGTCTGTCATTTTCAGCTTTGAGCTCTTGATTTTCTTTTATTACAGATTAAATATCTTCTATGAGTTATTTCACATCACTGAAAGTTTCTTTTATATCTCCAAGTTCCTATCTCAGTTCTCGTCACCCATATTCGATTGCTTTACTGGTATCACGTGCATCCTTCGACATGGTTAGTCAACAAAAAAACGTACACTTACAAAGACTGAGACAGGAACAGCAGGTCCGGCAGCAGTGCACAAACTGCAAAGAAATTAAATTCTGTTTAATACAACAGGCATATTCTCACCTGAAAGAAGCATTGGTTTAGTAAGCGATGCCAAAGTGCTAAGCTGCCGGACTGTTGCAACGGCTCTGGTGCAGCGTCTTTTTGTAGCAGCGGAGAACCGTTGCCCCCTGGTGATGCGCTGTTTTCGTCGTCAGTCGAACAAGGAAACACGCCCCGGAAGGCCCGCTACGCCTGGGCCTGACTATCAGGCTGCGTTAACGATGCATCGGTCGTAGGCGTATCTGAAAGAGGCGTAGATTTAGTAAGCGATGCCAAAGTGCACTGCTGCCTGACTGTCCACATACATACATACATACATACATACATACATACATACATACATACATACATACATACATACATACATACATACATACATACATACATACATACATGCATACATACATACATACATACATACATACATACATACATACATACATACATACATACATACATACATACATACATACATACATACATACATACATACATACATACAATAGACAGACAGACAGACAGACAAACAGACAGGCAGACAGATCATGGAGTTTATCACAAATACCTAGACGAAAGTGTGGCGCCACCATCTATGCGCATTTCTTAAGGGATGATGTTGGAGCGCTGGGAACGCGGAGAAAGGAAAGATAGGATAGGGCATGCCCAGCCGGCGCGCTACGCGAAAATCGAGAAGGAAATGACATGATGACCGCCATATTTACTGGGCGAAATGGTGGCGTTGCTATGGTTACGTGTTGCGCAGTGGAGCTGGTCTAGCAGTGAGCGGCCGCGGCTGGCGGTGGCATGTGTGCTTCCCCAGGTCTCGTGCTGAGCTGTGGGGGACAATATCCGTGCTCTGCGCCACGTTATTGGTTACGCAGTGTTCTCCTGGCAGTTACTGCACTCTTAGCAACTTTTACAAAATCTTTTCTCCATCACGGGGTTTCAACAGTGCGTAGAACGAGTGCATATCCATGTGTCGTGCGGCGGATGACGCTGATGAAGCAATTGGTGTTCAGCGAAATTGCGTTGGGCACCATGACGAAGTGGAACGATGACGAACGCATTGCAGGTCATTGGCGGTTGGGCAGTGCTCCTGCTTGTGACGACGTACGACGCTGTCGAGCCCAGCAAGACGCAATGGGGACCAGGTGCACATAGGTAGTTTCGTGTTGTGTGTGTGCAGTAACAACTTGCATGTGCGTATTAAAACACTTTCTCTGTTCCGCTTCGTATACTCTCCCACAGCATTGCATGTTATATCAACGTAACAGCAACCGCGTTCAAGTGTCACTTGCACCGTGCTCAAAGTCACCACGGTCGCAGAATGCTGTCGCCGGTGAGTTTCACGCGGAACACGGACACACCCAGTGGCCGGACGCTGCGTCGGCTGCGTGGCGGACTGCAACCGTAGAAGGCACACGACCGATCGTGTTGTCTGTACAGTTGCTGAATTAATGACGTGAAAACTCTCGCCATTGTCAGTGCAACTAGCGCGCGTTCTCTTGTACTTGCTTCGTTGTCGGTGAGCTGTTACTCGCTGTTAATACTCGGACGAAATAATTTTGCCAAAGGTGTGGCGCTGGCCCAGAGTGTTGAGCCCCGTTCCATTAGTTTCGGATCGTCACGACACGCGCGCTGCGCACTTCACGTGCTTTCTGAGCCGGAGAGGGAGACGTCCCTTCTGTTTTACATTCGGATGTGATTAAGAAAGGAGGATTTGCCCAGTCAAAATGGCCGACTTCGAGCTTCATCGCGGCATCACAACGAGTGACGTCATGGCCTCTCCTACCTTTCCTTCTTCCGTGGCTGGGAATGACGGTACATGCATAGGGTTTCTTAAAATTAACTAGAGGGCACTCTGGCGCTGCAATCGTTCAGCGACCATTGGAATGATGGGTAGTACACACATTTGCCTAGTCTTCGTACTTGCGGGCAGCGAATCGTACTTGCGGCTTCGTTTATTGCTGGTTATGGTTTCGTTTTAACGAAGACAACGTAACCTTTTGAATTTCGTGACCTGGTTTGAAAAGGTGAGCTTTAAAAAATAATGTGGTGAAGCACAGCCACTGAACATTTGCTGCATTATTGTTTCGTGAGAAAACAGCTCCAAGCTACACCAAGACAAACGAAGGTAGAGGCAGGCAAGAAGCACGAATATTAGACAAATGTGTGCACTACCCATCATTTCCATGCTCGCTGAAGCGCCGTGCGTTGCAGCTCCCGTAGACACTAGCGTCAGAGTTCCCTCTAGTGTATATTAAGAAACTCTATGGGTACATGTGTCTGCGCGGCTTGTGTTGGCTGGTGTTGAACGAGGCTTCGGCTCAAAAGCGAACACAACTGCCTAAATAAAGCTTCTTTAAAACAAAACGTTTATCAGCGGCTTTCATTTACGCGTAACATATTCTAAAATAAAATTCCGCTTACCTTGACGGCACAACCAAACGGCGAAGGGAAGAAACTGATGACATAAACGTGGCGCAAAGAAGGCTCAATTTGTCGTGTGCGTGCCAAGTTTAGTGGCCGTTGGTTACTTTTTATGCTTCGTAAAACTGAGCATCAACGTATAAGGTTTAAGTGTTAAATACAAAACGTTTCAGTTCGATGACAAAAGTGAATAGCTTAGTACGTGCTATTTTAGTCAGAAATCAATCATTTTAACGTGAAGCCAGACGCGTCTTCAAGGTATGGAAATCCGAGTCAAGTTCGAAACTCACGTATCCCGTCATTCTCTGGCATCCAGCATTGACAGACAGACAGACAGACAGACAGACAGACAGACAGACAGACAGACAGACAGACAGACAGACAGACAGACAGACAGACAGACAGACAGACAGACAGACAGACAGACAGACAGACAGACAGACAGACAGATAGATAGATAGATAGATAGATAGATAGATAGATAGATAGATAGATAGATAGATAGATAGATAGATAGATAGATAGATAGATAGATAGATAGATAGATAGATAGATAGATAGATAGATAGATAGATAGATAGATAGATAGATAGATAGATAGATAGATAGATAGATAGATAGATAGATAGATAGATAGATAGATAGATAGATAGATAGATAGATAGATAGATAGATAGATAGATAGATAGATAGATGCAGTGTGAAATTCAATGTAGAGCTGTGGGCTGAATAGTGGACATCTTCGCATTTGTATGCTGTTTTTTCCTGTCATATTAAGTGATGGTTAAAATTTGGTAATGGTTTTGTATTAGAAATTCGTATGGCCTATCTTGACGAAGGTTTTATGCCGCTTACGCTTTCGAATGGCAAAAGTTGACTGTGTGAGTGTGTGTTTTTTTCCACATTGGAAACAGCCGTGGTTTATTGTATTTATCAGAACAGAATAGTTTCTTGTCCCGATTCTGCATAATTGACACAGAAAAAAGGAGAGGGGTGCACAATGAAAGGTGAAATTTCGACTGCTAGGGTTCATACACGTCACTGAAGAAGTCAGGAGGGAGCCGAAAAAAAAAAGTTCCTTTTGTTACCTTTTCTTCTCCATTGCAGGTGTTAACTTGTCAAAGAAAAAAAAACTAGAAGAGAAAGCTAACGCTTCAAGGAACAATTGTGCTCACAAGTTGCTGCGATGCTCGAATAACTATATAATAGCCAGTAGAATAGGCGAAATTTGCAGTTCTGCGGATTGTCTACTGAAACACACCACAGGAAAGAGCCACTATGAAGGTCTTCGTAGCAATCACCCTCTTGTCGTTTGGTATGGGTCTACAAATTCGCTATTTCATTGTAACTGAAAATATCCGAAAAAGGAAATCGTAAGGAACACTGCACAGCGAGGTTAAATACCATATATATTTATTTCTGATATTTTACAATTCTTCAATTGCTTTTGTTACACAAAAAGAGTAAACCTTACTAACTTCGTATTGATAATGTAAGGGTGATAATGTTCTAGTAACTTGGCTTTTTGATATCACCAAGTATATGGGACATTTTCTATTGTGAAATGCAGCAAAAGATGCATGTGTTCATTCTAGTATACTTTTCCTCAAATCAATTCGTACGTCCGCCTTATTTTGTCACCCCTCCACTAAAATTAGCAGCATCTAATATCAAGCAGCTCCTGCTAACGTTGCGTAGATAGCCTCCAGGCAGTTATTTTCGTGTAAATATAAACTCAAGCTTTTTCTGCACCCTGCTTAACTACCACTGGTATACACGAGCCAAACTTAAATTCAAGAAAGGATTGAAATTCCGCGGTTCAATGTAAAATCCTGGCGAGCAACTAAGTTTCATTGTAATTCAATAGATACTAATGAACTCTTCATACGCAATGTTCTTGACTATCTCGTTAGAGTTCAGGCTAATACTTCTGCCATAGTAGGCGCGGTGAAAATCAAACTTCTCACAACCGAAAACAATGGCAATGAAGCATGCGCTCGCTCTCATCAGGTGAACCCAGTCAATGTAAGCAGATGCATTTCTGCATTTCATTGCCCTTTAGCAAACACATACCTACAGTGCTCACTCTGCCATAGAAAGGCTATCCACAAAACCATGTAATACTGCATGAAATTGCTTGCCCCCTGTGCATCTTTCTCTTTTTATCTCTTTATACCATTCCATATAGAAAAAAATCATCAAAGCCATTTCTTTCACGCACATTAATCGGAACAGGAAAAGGTAAAAGGGCGGACATAGTCAAGAATAATAAATTGTGTTGCTGGACCAGCTGGAAAATAGTATGCAAAAAGTAAGGACGGAATACATGACTTTACGGGATTTTCTTTTGTAACCGTGTTGCAAGCGACGCTCTTGTTTGTCTTCTTGTTTTCTTCGCCTTGTGTTGCGTCATTACCTTTTGCACATTGTGAAGAGCAGTGGCCGAGAACAAGAATGACACGCGAGCTTACAAAGCAAAACATGCAGATGCATATCTGCTATTCAAGGTATATATATATATATATATATATATATATATATATATATATATATATATATATATATATATATATATATATATATATATATATATATATATATATATATATATATATATATATATATATATATATATATATATCCCTTTGTTGACTAGTTATAGTGAAGGTGACTGAACACTGTTCCCTACAAAATTGTGAGCTAACAACAGCGATCGGTATTAAAGTATACTCATAAAAAATCATGGTGGTGAAGAGCACAAAACGAATCAGTCCTCTGCAACACACTGTTCACGAGTACCTGTTTTGGCAAGCCTGCTTTTCGGGGTTCGCCACAGTAAACTTTACTGTGTTATTATGCTATCCTTCGCAAGAGCCCATCTTAGTCAGTGTGTCCACCATGTTATGGCAATGCCAAAGAAAAGTGGGCCTGTCGAGGAGTGAGTCTTTTCAGCGTCCCGGGGGTAAGGTGCCTATGCGAGTGGAACTTCACATAAGCGGCTAATAAGAAGTTATTCAATCAGAAAAGAACATATATATCACTCTGTGCGTCTCGCGGTACGCTTTTGTCGTTGTAAATACTCGCGTGAGCCGAGCGTGAGCCTCCACATGACACGGGAGAACCACTGGCCTCTGCAGTGGTCACGACCACCTGCCAAACGAAATGCCAACGAACAAAAACAATAAGCCAAGCGATCAAGCTGTGTAGTACCAACCATGTAACGGACCTTCAGTGCCTTTAAGGTACAAAACGTGGTCATTTATTGCTGAGCTTAAAACCAAAAAGAAAATTGTATTTATGGAAGTAACAACACTGAACTATTTGCTAATGTGAGCCCATACACTGCAAGAAGTCTCGCTGGTTTCCCAAGCGTTTCACCTGATGTGTGAAAAGGAGTGTAAGAGTGGAGCTCTAGAAATAATGGACATTGTGAAAACGTTACGATGTCAACATAAACTAGCTGTGCTAGTCCTGAAATTCTGGTGTTTCACGGTATTATAGGAAGCACGCTGTAGATCCGGTTAGGCAGTGGAGGCGAATTTCTTTTATAAAGCCAGCAAAATTTGCAACATGTCTTCTATAAAGTGTTTGATCAAAATAGCTTTTCGTGGCATTTCATCAACGTCAAAGTTTAAAAAAATGAAATACTCTTGTTAGCGTGAAGCCAAGAAGCTAAAGCCACGATTGGCAGAAAATCTCTCCCTCTTTTTTTCCGCTAAAGTGAGCAACCAGTCTACGTTTCTAATGGTAGGCTACGTGCTGAAAACTAGCAATGACATCTTTCTAAATATTCCAGCTGAAACAAAAAAGCTAAGCGGAGTTCGTGGACTCAGACATATTTCTGTCAAGACTGCACATGTCTGTATTCAGTGAAAATCCTGTTCTAACGTCCAGGTTCCGGTAGAAAATATTTCTCATTCACTTGTTTTCCTCAATTCTAGTCGCCTTTGCTTATGCTGGCACGAAAGTGGACCTTCAGCTTGGCCCCTCGAGCTCAGGGTCATTTGGAGTCCGCGCCACCGGAGGCCCAAGCGCAGGAGTTGGAGGTTTGGCTGGTGGTTCATTTGGATCCGGTGGAGCACTAGGAGGCTTGCCTGGGGGAGCCGTTGGCGTCTTGCCCAGTGGCGCTACCTCTGTTGCTGTCCGCCCTGGATCTGTGGGACGTGGCGCTGGACTCTCCGGTGTCCGACCTGGCGTAGCTGGATTCGTCCTTCCTGGTGGCGCCTTCCCTGGCGCATGGTTCCCTGGTGCCTATGTACCGGCGTACGGTCCAGCATATTACGGTTTTGGTGGCCTCGGTGACTACTACGGCTTGGGCTTAGCTGGCGTGCCTCTTTTTGGCGGATATGGATACGGTCCTTACGGAGGAGTGTTCGGAAATGCCGGATACTGGGGTGGCTTTGCTCCTGTATTTTCCGGAGGCTTTGCAGCTGGTGCCCTTCCGGGTGCTGCTGGGGCTGGGGCTTCATCTGTTCGGGGTTCGTCCAGCAGTGGAAGTGCAAGCGCAAGCCTTGGTGCAGTAGGCCGTGGGGGAGCAAGCGTAGTATCCGGTGTGAGCGGTGCTGGGTAAGAACACTTCAGTAAATCAACAGATATGTGTTTACCACCGCGTACCTTTTGAGAGTTTTTATCGAATACATTTTTGTGCACTCTTTTGTCCCTTTTCAACGCTCCTTTTTTTCTCTTTTTTATTCATTCTCTCAATGTCTCCACACTTTCAGAAAGCATAGTTTTATAACTAAAAGAAAAATATATTATCTATATACGTCCGAGACATATATAGATTGTCTACGGCAAATAATACACGCTCTTTGGGTGATATTAAGCCACATTGTTTGTTTTATTTTAATGCTTTTACTTACAATGTTCTAAAGTACAACAAATGCTCATTTACTCAAAGCGACATTTCTACTCCTGGTCGTAAGCATCTAAATATTCGTGGCGGTAATATTTGACCAAATTCGAGTTACTAAGTCTCTGATGTCAGAAGTGAACAAAAATGTGTGCACCTTGGACAAGAGGCGCAAGGCGCCAAACTCGCAGCGAAGCTAGTGTTCGATCTGGCCACCAAGTTGTTATGGTAATGCCAAGTTTATCCTACAGATGTTAACTTTTGCTAATAATTCGGCTATCCTTCTCCGGTCTCCTTCGGTTTCCCACACTATGCACGTGTCGTATTGTTTTGGCTGGAACATGTCCCGTGACTAGTCACATGATAATATGTTATTTTAATAACGTCACTAGCTGTTTTGCAGTCATGACTAATGGGATGGTTTGTTCCATATTATTACATTATTCTATATAGGTGATTACCTTTTACATGGGCTATGGCTAGAACATGCCACGTTATTACTTGTCACGGGGTTTTAGCGACATGGTGTCCTGCCACCATCTGTAATGGGAGGTTGTGTGATTTTAGCAACAGGGCTGGTTTATGGCGGGAAAGTGTCAACTAGTTAGCCATTACATGGTTTGATGCAAATACATGTCACACGCCTACTTTTACGACATGCTGTGGAATTTCAGGCATCAGGCTATATTTCCCGATTATAGCACTTCACTACCTGTTACGTGATTTTTGGCGGGGACCTGTCCCTAGCTTTTTGTCACGTGACTCTTAGGTGATTTATTCACCTTACTAGTCATTGCATGATCTCACGTAATTTGAGTTGTGCGACTTGTTATGCGATGTTGCATGGTTTATATTCATGTAACAGACACGCCACACTGGGGCAAACGTTGCACGTGTTGTCGGAGCGAAGCAGAATAGGAAGAAAAATAAATGCGTGTCGTTTCATTGAAGTGATAATTTCTGCTCGCCCTGCCCAGTGAAACGAAGAGTTTAGTTATCTCCGTTCCTAAATGTTATTGTATTTCAAATAATATTAGCAGATGGCACTTGAGGTTTTACTTCAAAGAATAATAACGGGTGACACAATAATTAACGCTTGGGCTGACGCCAGCCAATAAAAAAGATTCTTTACTATTACAAGAGAATGCTAGGAGCCAGTACATTTATTTATTTGTTTATTTATTTACAAATATTTATTTATTTATTTATTTATTTCTTAAACCTGCTCCAGATTTGACTCTGGGTATCTAAAATACGCATCTACATTATGCTATTTATCATTAAAGCAATACAGTGTAAACATTAACCTGATGATACATGAAGCTCGCTAGAAAACTATTGCTGACGGTAGAACCAACGAGACAACTGAATAAGCAAACAGGATGGTGATTTCTGGAAATGTTCACTAAAGTGTAATTCCACTGGTAGTACCAGCTAAACCTTGATACCACACTCTGTCCATTGTCTTATGCCATTATTTTTAATGGGGACTAACGCATCACCGACTTCCTGCAATTTCGCAAGTGTTTTACTGCTAAATCTGAAGCGAATGCCAAGCAATGCTTGCTATTTCGTTCAATTAACCCAACTAAGTTTCTTAATATTTTTGATTACCTTTCAGCCCACAATTGCCCAAGCTTAAATGATGTCGCCATCTTCAGGCCTACGACAGCAGAAAAGGTGAGCGGGTTTCTACATTACAGCTCTCTCTCTTCAACATTGTTTGCTTATGATACTGCACTAATGTGTTTTGACCAATGTTTAAGAGTATCGGTGGTAAATTTAATTCACGGGCAATCTTTCAATAAACTGATAGGCTTTTTTTCAGCAATTTTATTTAGTCTTTTTATATACTTTGTGGCCTGCAGACATGATTTGTCATATTAGGTGTCCCCGTGTTGGGAAAGGCATCCTAAATAAATCTTGCTTCGTGATCTGATGGCGTCCGGGTTAATTAAAGTGGGAAAGTGATCGTGAGAGAAAAGTGGTGGTTATAGCTACAAGACATGAAACCACTTCAAATACATTTTCTGAAGAACAAATCTGGGTTTTCTGTGCACATTCGTGCAACGCCCAATTAAGTGTAAATATTATAATATTAACATTTAGCAAATTGTTCTGATTTATTCGTGCGTATGTTTCAAAAACCAGATATTCAAATTTACGCAAATATTTCATAATCGGGGACACACACAGCTCAACTAAGAAGCGTATATCTTATTTTTACTTCGGCTGATATATGCCTACCCGTTTACAATAAACTGCTATAGATTTCGATGCTTCTCCTCGAGACACGATTGTTACGCTGACAACTATTTTTCTTTCTTTCGTTTTAGTGCAAACCTGTACTACGCCGGACAATTGAAGAATCTAACAAAAGCTTCAGTGCAATGAAAACCGTTGATCAGACTACATTTCAATTAGTAGAAATCAAATAAAACGTGTTTCGGAGGATATAAACCCCCATTGTTTGTGTGCCTCTGTATTTCAAGTGCTAAAAAAAGGACATCCACATTTCACAACAATTTAGTTAACTATTACCAGACTGATGTATTATTGTATATTTCAACAATGCTCATCTGCCCATATTCACCAATGATATGAGTATTGAAACTACCTCTGTAACAAATAACCAAACTTGCTCTGGTAACTTCAACACTGCAAGAAAACAAAGTAGTTTTTGTTGACGTAATACACCCTGTCACCATACCAGCACGCATCAATTTCATGTACATGATTTCAAAAAGCTATTCAGTGCATCACGGCTCAAGCAAGAAGAAAAATAGCCTCTACTGCTTCCTAAAAATATCTTGAAAGTTTTGCTGACCCTATTATCACTTGGAAAAAAATCGCTTTACTACCAAAGCCCAACAAACAGAGGTGTTTGAACAATTCATTAGAAGTACCACAATTATTTATTGCATGAATTATTTTTTTGAAAATATTGACAGTAATGCTGATCGAGCGATCCAGCGGAATTGATGAAAAAAGGTGGTGAACCTAACGAAGACAAAACTCAAACCCGTTGTTCATTAAGAGCGCCGACGCTATATGCACAGAAAAGTTGTGAGCATATTTGAGGCGTTCAGAAGTACCACAAAAGATAGCCGACTGAATAGTGCAAGGAAAGTTGAAACAGCAAAAGGCAGGTCCTGTCACCCACAAGCGACATTGTATGTTCGATGGTAGAGCGAAAATGGCCGGGCCTGCTCAGAACTTTTTTTTTTTTACTTGCTGAGATTGTTCTACAGTGACAGCTGTTATGAGATCAGAACACGGGCCACGCGCGGTGCTATAGTTGTCCGCCGCCACAGCAGGTGTCCGTAACCAGTATCTTAAGAAATAAGAAATAAAAACGCAGAAATAAAAAAAACACCGAGCAAACAATGAGATTCATACCCGGGCCCGCTACGTGCCAGCCCAGAATTACACCACTGAGCCAGGCCCGGCGCCTGAAACTTGTTACTAAATGGCCCTTACACAGGCTTTATACAGAGAAAATAATCACGTTATTATGACTAATAAAGTGTTTTGAAACATCAATGGAACAACCAGGTGTCACACAACGTAAATTGCGTAACGAGTGGGTCGTTCACTCCTCAAACCCATTAAAGAACTTGTTCTTGATCACCCGTTAACTGTTGCGCATACCCCCTTCAGGCATAGTTATTCATCTTCATCAGCCACTGCGTAACAATTGCAAGAAATTACCACCAAGAATTTAGCGGATACCATGCTTCTCCGAAGAATGACGAAGGATAGCGTAGCGAATGCTGGCCTACTACACAAAAAATATGATTGTTTATGGCGTTGTGAGTACTAAGCAAGTGTGCTCGCTGCAGTTACAAAAAGAGTGCTTAAAAATGGCGCTGAAAGGCTGCTCTTCTAGCTTTCGCTATGACAGGGCGGTGCGTTCCACGAGGGCTTGGCGTTATTTATTTTTTATTTCTTGCAATACTCGTTACTGACCCCGACGGTGGCAGCAGCGTTGGCAGCGGACAACTACGGTGCCGCACGTGACCTGTTTTCTGATTTCATAACAGCTTTCGCTGTAATAAAGATGTACAATGCTCCAAGTTCCCAGCTTAGAAATAAAGACAGATAGGGGCGAAAGAGGGTAGGAGCTCAAAAAAGGAGAGAGAGGGGGAGGGGCAGCAAATATGCATTGGGAGAGTTTTGCCTAGAGGACACAGGGGGGTGCGATGGTACCTTGGCAGACGCTCCCTGTGCCGGTGTTGAGAGGTGAGAGAAAGGGGGGCGTAGGAAAGGAGACAAAGGGAGAGCGGACGCGCATGCGCAGTAAGGGTGATCACGCTGCGTGCCGGATTGAGCTCGACCCTATGCTGCTTCGTATGTAGAAATCAGGATGCTTGAGCTTTGACTACAAGAGTACATTTATGGCTGGGCAAAGATACCTTGAAATTGTATCGCGATACGGTTCAAGATATTTCGGCGAAAGGTATTGGTAATACAGATACAAGATACTGCCGCAAAAACTGGATCTGATGCGACACTTGGCAATTGTGTTTCAAAATACACTAATACATTCAAATTTGTTGTTGTTGTTGTTGTTGTTGTAGATGTAGTTGTTGTTGTAGATGTAGTTGTTGTTGTAGATGTTGTTGTTGTAGATGTTGTTGTTGTAGCTGTTGTTGCTGCTGCTGCTGCTGTTGTTGTTGTTGTTGTTGTTGTTGTTGTTGTTGTTGTTGTTGTTGTTGTTGTTGTTGTTGTTGTTGTTGTTGTTGTTGTAGATCCCCACAATGTGGGCACAAAAGAGACTCTGCAATCTCTGAAGCGGCGGTCCGAGCCTTTAAAATCACCTGGATCGTTATCAGCTGTAGTAGTTCGTATCTTAGGCCATAAGAATATTTCTCAACACGCCATATTTTGGTTTCCGGCTCACCTCAGATCACATTTGGCCTCCATGGCAAGCCTAAACGAGATCGCCCACGCCCGAGCACGCGAACTTACTCATCGTGCAGGGCAGCCTGCGGAATCTTCAGCCTCCACCTAATGGTATTTATGGATGTTCTCCTGACTTTCAACGAGGTGATCAAACATTATCAGCTAGACAGAACCTCCTTCCTCGCGTGAAACTTTGTAGGGCCCAGGCATCTGCCGTTCGCATGCTTCAAACTAGGTCGCACCCTAGTCTTCGTTCACACCACCAGTTCATTGAAGGCATTGATCCAACATGGCCAGATTGTGGCGCCTTATTTACGTTATCTCTGACTGTGCCCCTCATCCCGCAGTTCGCAGTGCATGAACGAAGGGGAATGGAGCTCTGCGCTCAGGAGCTCACAACTTGCACATCCACTCTGGTCTGTCCAGAGGGCCCATGACGTGGCGGTGAGGCTATGCCTACCCGTTCCGACGCAGAAGTGGCCCGCTGCTCTACCTCCTTGAGGTAGTATTCCTCAGGAACTCAATAGAGTTCTGTGTCTGCCTGTCTGTTTGCCCCATTTCATTAAAAATATGTTTCTTAGCATCTTCAAAAGTTTTGTCCTAAAATAAATTCGTTTACTTCCGCAAAACGTATCAGGGTTTTATTTAGCTGCTTAACAGGACAGGTCTGTAGACACTTTCTGATAGTGGTTCTTGCTTGTCGTTTCTGTAATTGATGAGAGTCGCTGCTGAGCTTGCCGACCAACTAGCGAATTTCCATCTAATTATACGAACTTCACTAAGAAAGCGGCAGCCACTCTGCTAGAAATGAAACTCACTAATGAGGTTACATGTTCCCAGAAAACCAAGTATTTCAGTCAAGCAAAGCGCGTCGTACTCTTATAGCGGCAGTAAGTGTCGTCGGCCTTCTGTAATCGGATCATCGGCAGAATGCGCCTTGTATTTTTACAGCAGTGATCACACTTTCCTGCGTGCACGCCTATAAGCTCGTGAATCATTAGGAGTACGCCGACTGCGCATAATCTGAGTAATAACTTTTCACTTATTATGTCAGAAAACTAGGACATGCATATGAGGACCGCAGAAGCGCGGGACTTCAGAAATTTTGACCATGTGGAGTTTTTTAAAGTGAAATAGAATCTTAGTACATGTGCCTCTATAGGATTTTATCTCCACCGACGTGCGGCCGTGGCAGTGGGATTTGTGCGTAATCTTAGCAGCACAATCTGAGGCACTATGAAAGTTTACTGAACATTGCACGAAGCTTGCGTCGAGCGGTCTTGAGTTTTTGCCCACTTAGACCCAATCACACCAAAATAAAAAAAGTAATAATAATAAATAGGAGTACTTGGCAGCATAAATGCGCAGAACAATATTAACAAAACTAAAAAAATATTGTTTCAAGCAGTCGTGTTAAATAAGCCGAGATGCACATAACAGGTGGCACTCCTAATAGTTATGTCAGTTAACCATTGTGTATCTCACTTCAACTTTACTCGTTAAGGTTAGAGAATAAAAAGAATCAGTGCCTATACAAAAAATTGTCTGAAATGGCTCATTGGGACATTCTTAAAAAATGGGCCATTTGACAAAGTGTTGCTCGAGTCCCCTCTTTAAATTCTTTAAGATGTTTCCAAGTTATTCCCATTATTATGACGCAAACTTATTGGGTCGTTTTAGCTAGCACTAAACAGAATATTTGGTGCTATATATTCGACGCATGACCATTCATTCACATATTTGTATCAACAATCGCCTTTGCAGAAGAGTAAGCTCAATTGAATATAAATGTGTAAGCTGTAGCAAAACTAAAGCAGACATTAAAGGTAAGGGTAAAACAGAGAGCTTACTTTGGCTCTTCTTGGCACAAGGCATATTGCATTAGCAGCAACAAAAAAAAAGTCTTGGTGATGTATGAAATGCAAAGAAAGCACAACTTGAAAAAAACTTGTGCTGACAATCATACTAAATTTCAAGAGCTCTTTGAATAGAAACAGCACGAATGCAGCGACAAGGTATGCGATGATACCGTCTGATAGGTAAGTACTTGCTTTATTAGAGAGAGCGTCAGGGCTGGTGGTGCTGTAGTTCCTCGCAGGAGAGCAGCATCAGAGTTTGTGCGGTTATTACCACACGCATTGTGTTAAAAGGCTCATGCAAGCTGCTTAGGGCAAGTTTCATGGCTGTGACACAAATAAAAAAAGCAGAAGCCTAAAAAAATGGCTACGTGTCTGCATTTAATCTGCAAATGTCGTCAAAAGACGATAGTCTCACGTGTGGAGAGAGTGAACAAAACATTTATTTGATGTTATGCTTATGAAAATCGGTGAATGGTATTCTGAAGGTGCTGCGTTATAGTGCCTCGAGCGTGCAGCGCAGGCGAACGAGCGCATCAAGTCACGTCACACGTGAGACATGACCGCCATTTGGCAGTTTTTTTTTTTTTCAAAAACAAAGCGCATGGCTCTCAGACGGGTGTGCGCGCCCGCTTCAGAGGTGATAAGGTGTAGAGCGCAAGGCGATGGGTAGGTGCCACCACCGTCTCGTTTTAGAAA